AGAAAGAAAGAAAGAAAGAAAGAAAGAAAGAAAGAAAGAAAGAAAGAGAAAGGAAGGAAGAAAGAGAGAGAAGGAGGGGAGGGAGGAAGGAAGGAAGGAAGGAAGGAAGGAAGGAAGGAAGGAAGGAAGGAAGGAAGGAAGGAAGGGGACAACATAGAGGGTTTCTAAGGAATTGCTGTAATCATTTGTGAATGCTCAATAAATCTTTGTGGTTTTCTATATTTCTGTTGAACTCAGCTATAGTTAATGCCTGAATCTCCTCAGCAAATTTTTGGATTAAATCTAGTGAAAAAAAAAATGTATGTCCTGGGGAGACTGGGAGATGGGAAGAGTGATAGATGATTCACTTAACTTATTGAAAATATGTACAGTGTTGTAAATATTAGCAAATAGTAGTTGAGGTCACTTACATGGTTTGATTATTCAGCTTAAATTTGAACTGTGGCTTATTTATACATGTTGTTGATGTACATTGTTTCATATGGCTTAAAATTCTTCCTTTAAAAGAATTTCAGAGGGGAGCCTGAGTGGCTCAGTTGGTTCAACATCTGACATTGGCTTAGGTCATGATCTCAGTTTGTGAGTTCAAGCCCCACATTAGGCTTGCTGCTGTCAGTGTAGAGCCCGCTTCAGATCTTCTGTTGCCCTCTCTCTGTCCCTCCCCTGCTCACACTGTCACTCTCAAAAATAAATAAAACAGTAAAAAAATTTAAAAAGAAGAAATTCAGAAAATTTGCTTGACATATATCTTGACCTCCTGAGAAATTCATATTTGTATCAGTATTGAATTCTGTGCTCCAACATAAGGAAGTTACTGTTTTTAAATAAAGCAAACTTATTTCATTGGGAAAAAGTGGCTAAGGTGGTAAATTTTATGTTACATGTATTTTACCACAATTTTTAAAAATAAAAAAAATCTGTTAAAAGAGTTTTGGGGGGCACCTGGGTGGCTCAGTCAGTTGGGCGTCCGACTTCGGTTCAGGTCATGATCTCAGGTCCATGAGTTCAAGCCCCACGTCCGGCTCTGTGCTGTCAGTTCAGAGCCTGGAGCCTGCTTCCGATTCTGTGTCTCCCTCTCTCTCTGCCCCTCTCCCACTCAGACTCTGTCTCTCTCTATCAAAAAATGAACAAACGTTTAAAAAATTTTTTTAAGAGTTTTGGAATGGAAAAAAATTTTGGGAGAATGAAAAGCAAAACCACAAGCTGGGTAAAAATGTTACAAAGCATATATGATAAAGAAATAGCACTGTGTGTGTGTGTATATATATATATATATATATGTGTGTGTGTGTGTGTAA